GATGAGAAAATTGAATAATTTTAATAAGACTCTCATGTGCAGCACAACTGACCTGAGTCTGAGTGCTGCTGCTCTTCATCGGGTAAGAACCGGGCTTTGCCAGTGTAAGCATGTGGTGCATCTTCTCCGTTGTCCTCATACACACTGGACCACTTTATAGCCATGTCCATGCCGGGTGGAGGTCCCTTCTTCTTCTCTGGCTCAGCAGCATAGCTTTCAGGAGGTGGCACTGCATTTGTCTTCCATGGTTTAAACTCTCTGATAGGCTTCAGGAAGAAAAAAACAGTGATTAAATAAACATTTCTTTTACAAATTCTGTGACAATAATTTTTCGCACTTGTGATCAGTGCTGCAGGAAAGAATTATTTAATATACAGTATTCTGTGTTATTACTAATTAAATCTGATCAACGGAATATTCACTAAGTCCATCTCAACAGTCTCAACAGAGGTTCTTACCTCTTCAGGGGCTTTGACAGCCAGGCTGTCCCAGTCTATCTCTTTATTCAGGGGGTTGTAGAGAAAAGAAGGCTTGGACACAGAGCTGAACAGTTCATCCGGTTTGGGCAATGGAGCTCCACCAGAAGCTCTTTTAGCCCCGTGTTGCTGAGACGCTTCTTCCGAACCCGTATTCTTCTGACTACCTCTCTCTTCCTCGTCTGAGTCGCTGCTGTCGCTTAAATCATCGTAGCTGGAGAAGAAACCTAAGGAGCTGGACTTCTTTTCCTCCGTCATTGTTGTATGGTCAGTAATTCGCCCAAAGTCAAACTCTGTTACAGTAAGTCCGTTTAGAAGATTAACATAAAGCTGTTACTGTTTAAATGCTTGGGGGTTTACTCCATTTTGAAGAAACCTCCAAAACAGTCGTAAAACGTACGGAAATGTCGTGATGACGTTCTTCTTCTACGGCGTGTGACAGACAACAAATTAGTACGTTACTGTCACCAACAGGTGTGGAATGTAAGAAGGTGTTTAAAATTGAGGTGCGAAGATAACGTGAATTTATAGGACGTGTTTAAATAGTCATGAATTTATTTACACGCCACTATGGCCTGTTGTAAAATCACAAAGCTCGAGCGGTGTCTCCAGAAAAACCTGACCTGATGCCAATAAACGAGGACACGTGTTTGTGGTTATTTCAACAGCTACTTCGGGTAAGTGTTAATAGAAAATATTATACATTTGTTTTATAAAAAATACAAATGTCAACTAATCCCACCTAAATCTTATATAATGAATTTTAAATGTTATTTCGAATCTACGGGGCTGCACAGAAATCTTTCCTGATAGAAAAAATGTGTATTGATAACCGATGAGCTGCAAATTGCAGAAAAAGCCAATAACTTTTAAGAAGACAACGACATTTTATAAAAAAAATAAATATATTAAATAATATATTTTTTATGTTATATAAAAATATATATTTTATATTATCTTACGTTCAAGTAGACTCGGTTGATTTACTGTGGAGGATAATCTGCAGTATTGAATCATTAATAGTAAAGCTGGAAGAAGACGAAATGTTTGTGAACCAGTGCACTGCAGACGTCCTCAAACGTTTACAATACAACCGTTGTCCTCTAGAGTGCAGTGTTGTCACACGGGTGAATCAAATGCAGAAGCAACACGTGTGCAAAAACGAACAGCCGTTGCCCCGAAGTTGAAACAGTTAAGGTGTAGTTTAAAACTGTAAATTCATTTAACACCGTCATCCGTTAGTTCCACAGCATAAATGGCAGTTCACTCGGTAAAAACATGTCAAAACTTCCTGAGTTTTTTCCACTTTTTAAAGATTAATAGTTACTCAGAAAACATTTACATTTAATGTATGTCTTAAAAAAATGTCAGAACGACAGTCTTTGCCCTCACACGCAGGTCAAACAGCCACCAAAAATGCTCTGCATGTTCATCATAACATAAATCTATCAAATGTACAAACTTTGCTGCTCTCTCCTTCTTCCCTTTGCACTTTCCCAAACCTGTGATTTTGCAGTTTTGCACAGCAGGAGGTCATTTTGAGGAGAGATTTACTGGATATCTAGTCTGAACAGATCCTAAAGGTTCACAAACATTTTTTTTTGTGAATGGCAGAATTCAAATCCATAAAATACTTCATTTGAAAAATGTACAAAATCAGTACCAGTAGAGTCAAGTTCACTACAACACATAGAGTTTGCTCTACATTTCTGATTGGTCTCTGACTGATTATAGTTTTCTTCAAAACAAAATACTTGAAAAAAGAATGTCTGCAGACATAAACTAGTCTAAACAGTCACTTATGGGACATATATTATGCTCAAAAGCCCCTATTTATCCTTGATGGAGTTTTTGTGCGGCTCTCCAGGCCTAATTCTGGCAGGTGATATATACTGACATGTTCTTTTTGACACTGACATCTACACTTCTTCAATCAATGGCAAAGACAAAAAAAAGAAGTTAAACTTAAAACATTCTTTTGTCTTTTCATAAATCTGTTCTCTTATCTCAGGTTAAATCTCTGGGTGAGGATGGTTCCTTTTGCCATTCAAGCCCCTAAACTGCACAGTAAGGAGATAATAAATAAAAAGTTAGATAGGAAAGCAGAAAGGAAGAAAGATGGAAATAATTATTTATAATCACAGCCACTTCCTGTAACATCGGTGCTAATTTAAGCGAAAAACAAGACAGGATGTGGCATGTAGGAAAAACAAGGATTGAGTCCTTAAACAGGTGCTTTCCTCTCCCTTTTTTCCACGCCTGTTCTTGTGTTGGGGGTTTAAATGTTTTTCCAATTACATGTTGGTTAAAAAAAATATACGGTGAGGACAGCATGAGGCTGTTTCCTCCCTGTAGGGAGGAAGGAGGATGAGGGATTTCTGATGGACTCTCGTTGGGTTTTCAACTTTCACAGTTTTTTTGTAATTTAGTTTGGACACGCGTTCCCAGAATGGATATAGACTCTTGGTTTGACTTAGAGGCTAACAGTGATGTGAGAAATTCCCCACTGAGGTGAAAAGCCACACCTCTGTTTAATCTACTGTAGCAGTTCATAATTTCTCTCCGCTCTTTGTTTTATCCAGCAGCCAAACAGAACACATCTGTGGTAGGATACCAGCAGGTTGTTGACTCAGTTGAAATCAGGATTATGCAATAGGTATTTATTGTTGTTGTTGTTGTTGTTTAGGTACAATTACAGGCCTAGTAGTTTAATCAACCAGGTGAAATCTACTTCTTATAATTCTGTTGGTATTTCGTTTAATTAAAGCCATGGTAAGCACCAAAGGACACTTGCAGGATGATAAAATGGTTCGGTTATGTGACCATGAAAGCCTGATGATGTTCCCTTTTTTTTTGGTTTTTACTAAGAGACAACATCATGGGTGAGGCATCATTTTCACTCTGGCCTTTTTCCCCCTGTGAAGCAGCTGTTGTCACCAGGCAGAATGCAGTCCTGATCTCTGAAATCATGGCTCTCTCTCAATCCCAATATCCTCTGTAATTAGTCACAGCCATGATAAGAAAAACAGGATCAAGTCCATTAAGATAAACTGTGGCAGATGCCACCTAGGTGACCTTGGACTTTGGGATCTGCCAGCAGGGGCAGGCTGGTCTTAGGGATAATACTCAGACAGGGGCAGTCCTTTCCAGACAAAACAGGTGGTCAGACTTTTTGAACTGAAGTTCCTGTGTGATTATTGGGCACACTGGCTCATCACTGGTTTTACCAAGAATCATCACTTAAATGATAAAAACTGCGTGTCTGAGGCCTCTTGAGCAGGGGTCTGCAGCCAGAGATCTTTTAAAAAAAACAACTAAAAGTCATGAAGAGCCTCAAACACGTGTCAACCATTTTAATGATAGAAGTTGTCCAGTATATGAAGTTCTAAGTACTGTAGTTATATTTTGATTTGACTCAACTCAACAAAACATACACTTTTTCACCATAAAATGTGTTTTATCCAACATTCAGATTTATATCAACCATAAACTTTTATGTCAATCTCTTCAGCCATGCCAACACTCAGCATGCAGCACAAAGATTGTAAACATGTTAACCGTGATCACTGGTATATTAGCCTTATTAGCCAAGTGTCATCATAAGGATAAAACTGATTGGACGGTGTAATGCCCTTTGGATTTATCACTTCGGTGAATCAACTCCTTGAAGCGGTTCAAGTCTTATATATCGCAGATCCACTTAGAGTAAACTTGGCAGCAAAGCATGACACGTGATTGGGCGCAGAAACATTGTACTTACAACTATTTGCATCTTTGCTGTACCTATCAGGGACTTAAAGCATCACACGCCTCCCTCGACTGTTGAAGAACTCAAAAATATCGTGCTCCTTTTAAAACCTTAAGTTTCAGCAAAAACATTTTTAATGATAGAAAAATCAAATCAAATGAGATTAAAATCCTTCACTTACGTAAACTTTAGACCTTGACTAAAATGATAGTGGGCAGAAAATACAAAACAAATCAGGAAACATTTTCCAGTTGAGAGAAAAACTTTCTCTGATGCCAGCTTCTGGAGTTCTTCCCAATGACGACCAAACAAAAATAACACCTGGAATCATTAAAGCCATGAATGTAAAACAGGCGTTTCAACACCTGTGGAAATCACATATTAATGCTCTGCAGCTTTACTTAATATCACTCTGCTCTCTTCATCCTTTTCCAACTGTTTTTCCATTTGCATTCAACAGTAATAGGATTAGCAAACGCTGAGGTGCAAACAACATGTGGTGTCATGACTGCTCTTTATTTCTTTTTCCTGTCAGAAGAGAGGCAGCTGGAAGTTAGATGCAGTTTAAGCGTCATTCATGTTAAAACACGCGTTTTTATATTTATACATGCTGATGGTACATGCATGTGTAGAATTTACATTTTAGCTTCCTCTCCTGGGCTGCACCCTCTCAAAATTTTTTTTAATTACCCTGCGTTTCCACTGCACTTGCAGCATGTTCAAATGTTAATACCGCACCAATACAGACAGACTAACTAAACTTCTTCATCGCAGTGTTTAAATCAGAGCTGGCTGTTTAAATCGATTGTGCAGATCATGCTGATCACATGTTCCAGTTCGCCGTGCAGTGTGATGGCTGTGGGATAAGCACTAAACACACACACACACACACACACTTCATGTTTATTCACTCTGAAGTAGAGTTTGTTCAATAACAAGTCATTCATTGTATTTCTCAGACAGGTTGAATTTTTTTCCCTGCTGACGCACGGTGATGAGTAATAATGACAGTTTTATGAGGTAAGCATATTGTGAGCCTTTGATTGGGGATTATAAGAGGTTTCATGACTGGACATGATTTGGCAAAAAGATTGGCACAAAATGTTTTGATGCGATTCATTTGGTGGTGTATTCAATGGTGTAGTGGACCATTGTAATGGCTATTAAATGAATCTAAAGGTTAATGGGGTTTTTTCCCCAAAGATTAAACATAGCAGTTCTTGACTGGATGTCAGTGAGATTTATAATGTTTTTAAGGTCACCACCTGCAGGCCAATACTGGTACTGTACCCAATAAATTAACAAGACTCTGAGAGGGTGTCTGTCGTTTATTTATAGCCTATGTTTCGGACCCTATGCTTTAAAGCGTCACGAGAAGTAGATTTATGCTGAACCTGAAGGGACAGAGAAATTAAGCAGAGACAGACACGGTGCTTCTATGATCTTGTGGACAGGATTCAAGACTGTCTGCAGAACAGATTGGTCACTGCGTAGAAAAGGCCTCCTTGTCTGTATGTTCTGCACATGTCACAGAAAAATGCTTTGAGCCCCGGCCAGGAACATCTACTTTTTAAAAGCATTATTCAAACGGCCCTATTCACTTCTGTCGAACAATAATCTGTACAAACCAGCGCAACTATTTCAATCTTTATGCAGTGAGATCTGACTGAAGTT